ACGTGGACTCATTTGACCGTAATCATTAGCGTGGCCAACAATGGTAAAAGATTTCAATGTCATATATTTCAATTGTAAGATAAATGAATCATCTTTGTTTGAATCTTATTTGATGGATTTATTCTTATTGAAAGATATTTTCAGTTGAATATTTTTTATTTACAACTCAACAATGTTACATGAGACAACTTTCTAGTTCTAGGTGTAATAATCATTGCGTCTAAATATCCTTGTGTTCTTTTGTTTGATTTTTTTTCTTTTATTTGCACAAATTATTAGTTTTATATTTTTTTCATGCTTAAGTCTCATATACAAAGGAATAATTGACAAAGAAATCAAATTGTGTTAAAAATTTTAGCTCTGGAAATAAATTAAAACATGCTTAAGCTCACAAATATTCTTGTAATCTAGATCATCATGATTTTTCAAATTTTATATCGCGTTATTGGACATCATATTTGTAGTTATGACAGTTTGTTGAGTATATCAAATCTTCAAAATGACAAAAATTGGATTATTTGCATCTTGTGTATACAATTATGTGTACATTTAATGAATTTTATGAAAAATGTTATTATTTTGATATTTTTAAAAAAATTTGTGATTTTATTGTTTATGCATTGACTTTGCAGCTAAGAAAGATCAACATGAGAGGAAGTCAGTCAACAACTTGACATTTCTGAAAATAGATTAGAAGTTTAAAAGAAAAATAAAGTCTACATGAAAAGCAAGTAATCTTTTATACATTCATTTTTTCATGTGTATTTGAATTAAATCAATTTAAATGTTGACTACTAATAAACATATGGTACGGAGTTTCAATAAACATCATGGTTTATACTTTGATTACTGAATATGTGTCGTGCGATACCAAGTCGCATCCCATCGTGACTCCGACTCAAATTCGAACTCAACGTGCACACCCATGACATATATCTAAATCAGATATTTAATGAATTCAACTAATTTGGCGTTTTTCAATTTTTAAATCTTGAATTTGAACAATTGAATGAACATGTTTTATTTTATGATATTTTAAATATTTTAAAATTATCTTTTGTTAAAAATCTTGAAATCTGTTTTTGAAATTTTTATAAATGAACTTTTTTATGATGACTTACAAATATATGAAATACAAAAAAATTTGCATATCATTTTGATAATAATGCATCAGGTGAAATCAAAATTTTAAACATGTATTGTAAATTTTTTGATATTATTTATGAGAAATTTTACAAATTTATATAAAAAATTCATTTTTAAATTAAATTAAAATAATTTTTATTGTGTGTAAAATCTTGATCCAAAATTACATTTACAACCACAAGATTTATGTAGTAGCTACATGAAATTTAGATTTAGACTCGCAATACTTAAATATTTTTCAAATTTTTTTTGGATAGTGTTAATCAATCTGATTGTAATGTTATGGGAAAACAAGACAATCTATAACACACAATCTCATAATTTTTTTCAAATTTTTATTTGACATAGGTAATTTTCAATACTAAAAAAATGTAAAAATCTTAAACCTATCAAATATGACAATATTTGAGTTTAATTATTACAGATTTATTTTAATAATTTATATATATTAAAAAAACTATATTTTATTTGTTGATTCAAGATAACAATTGTAAAAGTATATTTGTTAAGTATTTTACACTATTTATGTTTTACTCTTAAAAAATTTAGTTTTAATTGGTATACTGTTTATATGAAAATTATGCAAAGACAAAGACTTAAGATGAGATGATTTTTTGTAACACTAGGAATTAAAAAGAAATCATTTGAAGATGAAAATATAAACTCTAAGAATGAGAGATATAAATAATGGTTTTCATAACTTTTATATAACTTTTACTAACAAAATGTAATGAGATAAAATTTCATTCCCATCATCCATTCCACTCCTAATGGCTAAATGACATGGCGAATAACCCTTACAAGCACACGGATTATTGATGTGGTATTGTCAACTAACACACTTATTCTCTATTTATCAAGCACGCGAGTCGCTGACGTGTCACCTATGACTAGAGCACATTAAAATAACTATAATTTTATCTTGAGTAACTTCTACTTTAGTTCTAACTAACTATATATGGTTATACATTAGGTGTAGATTTAACCTTGTTAATGTTTCTTTAACATAGCTGCTTTAAATATGATCATATTAGACATCAATATATCTCAAGAGTGCAAAATATATTGGATTGCATACTTGGATTATTTGCTTCTAAACTCTTGATTATGATTATATTATACATCAATTAATCTCAAGACTACAAAGTTTATTGGATCGCATATTTTGATAATTTGCTTCTAAAGTCTTAACTATGATTATATTAGACATCAATTAACTTAATACTCCAAATTTATTGGACGTCACTCTCGAATAATCTGTTTTAAAATTCTAATCATGAAATTTAAGTTGTATTGAAATTGTAATTTCTTGAGAAAAGATTTATAAACTAATTAGAAACACATTGCTATTATGTACTGGTATAGGTAGTAAATCTATATCAAATACTTTTTGTAAGTTTGAAGAATTCAAATCATTTAAATTCAACTTGACGTATAAACTATTAAAGGTGACATTGCCTATAAAGAAACACTTTCTTGATAGTACCACTATGAAATACAAAACGCTTTTTGGTATCTAACATGATTCATTTTATCCAATGATAATCCACCAACGACTTGCCGTCACACGTGTTTTAATAACAATTGACGTCTTGCCTCCACACGTATCAACACATGCATGCTTTTCACTCTTTGTATATCTATTCATTGCTTCACAAACTTGTTATGATAAATTTCCTACAATCAACATTTTTGTCAAAATGCTATTGTAATGATTCCTTATCATAGTACCAAATGCACACAATAAATGAATTTTTATTCTACGCGACAGACACATGCATGTACAAAGACACAAAATAGAACAAAAAAGAGTAAAGATTGAGAAAGATTGGAAGAAGAAAGGAAAAGAAAGTACAAATTTACTCAAAATTGAAGATTAACCAACCTTAGTTATACCTTCTGGATTCAATGTATGTACATCAAGACACAAAACAAATAAAAAGTAAGAGAAGGAATAGAGGTAATGAAATGGAAAATTTTTCCAAAGTTGAAGAAAGTGTCACATTGGTTAAAATGAATGCTGTTGGAAACCTAGAAGTGTTTTGTGTTTTGCAAAATACTCAAGTAATTTTCTCACGGATAAGCCATCCCGAAGCCAAGTTAAGTATATAGATTCATCATGCTGGTAAATATAAATATATATATCTTGTGCTATTGGATATTCATGTTCCATGTTTTGCTCTTGCACATTTGAAGTGCTTGAAAAATTGACTCTCACAATTGATATTAAAGTTGACTTTCTTATTAATTAGTTCAATCATGGAAATTCGTGATTAAAGTTATATTTGACATGAAGGAATTATAGAGAGATAAAATCAGTTTGGTTTTAGATCTCTTCATAGGTAATTTTGAAAATCTTTCAATGAACAAGGCCAGGAAGATGAGCAGTTTTGGATTTTTTCTAAGCATTCAGTGAGCGTTCAATCGGACGAGAAAATTTGTTCTTTGTTTTGCTGAGAATCGATGTTAGAGTCAATCGTGTTGAAATTGGAGAAAATGTTAGAGTCCGAATATCGGGTCTCAAATTTTCTGGAACTGATTGTTTAGATTAAGGACTGTGACCTCAGCGTTACTGACCACCCTAAACCTACTCGCTTCTACAATTTTGACCGCAACCATATCCACGATTATGACTGTGACTAAGACCATGATTGTGTCCGTGACCACTCAGTAAACTGTTACTGGATCTCCAAACTTACAAATCTATGAACCGTAATCTTATATGTATACGCTCTTTATACATGTCAGACCTACCGACGGAATCTATATACCGGCTGTTTTCTTCCAGTCCCAGACATCATTTTAACACGTTTAATACACATTTAGTCAAATAATAACAATTACATTTTCGAGGTTTCAGGATTTGTAAGTTTGGTGTACTGTCATTATTATGAGATTCCGGTTTGTCGATTTTAATTATGCTGCCGAATGTCTAATGTCCATGCTACAATCAGTCGTTGCTTATGCCGCATGTACCATCGCAGGTACTCGTGTCGGATTCGGGTTTGTTTACTTATTCTCTGAAAGAGAGAAGGTCTGTCAGCATTCCTTTTGTGTCATTCTATATTGTTGTTGTTTCCGATCTGCCGTGAAGTGCCAATAGATCCAAGGGCGTCCAGTCACAACATGAGACCTGCCACTCAGCGAACGAATGGTACGCTCAGGACCTGGAAATGCAACAATCATCAGACGACACGTGCCGATCGTGACACACTACACTATGTCCTCCCACACGAAGAAGTAAACTGAAGGTAGAGCGGAATGGGGAAACTTCACGATCAGACACAACATCGTGGGGGTGAAAATCTGTCGGATCCTCGCCAAAACTGGTCCTTCAAGGATATATGCAGTGGATATGAACAATATACGCCAGATGGGGAAAGCAATAACCGATGTTTTGTCCTCAATAATGGAACGACCGGTTGACGCAGCAATCCCGTCAGCTCGTGTGTGCTCCAAGCATTTCCGATCAGGGGCGGAAGCGGACAAGGTCAACCGGAATGAGGAAGTCAACCACCGGGATTTGGGACCCAGCATACTCGAGATGTCGAGGCATAGGTCTGTCGCCAGGACGCTTATGCCTCTGCCGTTCATGACCGAAATCGAGACTCGAACGACGTTACGGTATTTGGACTAAAGCGGGCCCTTAATGGGTATATGGTCTGCCGCAAGGATGCAGAAGCGTCTGCAGTTTACGATAGGAATTTCGTGGGAACTTAACCTGCGGTTTAATGGATGGGTCAACATGCAGAGCTTACCAAGTTCATCTGGGGAGACTAGATGAGCCGTAAAGAGGAAAGCGTCGGGAGGCGAGGTCGAATAAGAGATGGGATGATCACATGCACGATTACCGTAATCGGAGTGGAGGGCTTAGGCTAATTAGAGGTGGGATAGGGCTAAGTCTAATTAGAAAGGTCAGGAAAGGCGGTGCGGAGGAGCTCGTGCTCCGAGACAGCAGGCCTGCTAAACACGAGCGGAACACGTCAAAGCCAGTGTGGCGCCTGGACCGGACCGGATCGTCGAAAGCCGGTACCGATTACCGGTCGCCGGCCATGCCGGACGGCTGTGAAGACGGCAGTGGGTCAGTCGTGGTCGTGCCTCTCGTTCTCCCTCGCTCGGTGCCCTAATGACCCTCTCCTCCTCCCGTTTGCTCATCTCTCTTTCTTCTGCCTTCTTTCCGATTTCTCGAGTTGTGCTCCTCACGTCCGCTAGTCTCTCCAATTGCCTGCGCTTCATCTCGGACTTTTTGCTGTTTAGGAGATGACGGAGTGAGGAGAGATTTGTTGCCGTTTAATAAGCTCCTTTTCGCCCAGGGCGAGCTCGATTTGGGCACGTTCTGTTTTAGTTCCTGTCGAGAGGAAGATCGAGAGATCGACTAGAAGCGGAGTAGAGAAGGAAAACTCGAGGTTTTGCCTTTCTTCGTGGATTACCGGGAGCTGAGGGTCCCTTCGTGAGTGCAGCAATGGCAGGGGGAGGGTTTCGAGTGTTGCATCTTGTGAGGCCGTTTTTGTCAGTGCTACCTGAGGTCCAGACTGCCGATAGGAAGGTCCCGTTCAGAGAGAAGGTTTTGTACACTGTTGTTTCTTTATTCATTTTCTTAGTATGTAGTCAGCTTCCTCTCTATGGGATCCACTCGGCGAACGGGTCGGACCCCTTCTACTGGATGCGTGTTATTCTGGCTTCCAACAGGGGTACAGTCATGGAGCTCGGTATCACCCCTATCGTTACATCCGGCTTGGTCATGCAGCTTTTGGCTGGTTCCAAGATCATCGAGGTCGACAACAGTGTCAAGGAGGACCGCGCTCTTCTGTAAGTTAACTCTCCACCAAGTGATTTGCGGTGTGTTGAATGATACGTTCATTAAATGTCCATGTAACGTTGTCTGTATGGTGCATGGCACATCCACGATCTGCCCATCCCATGCGAAAACTGGTTCTAATTTGCTACCGTAAGCGATCCACTGTCCAGCTCACATTAATAATCGGATCAACTAATAACAGTGTTCAGTGCTTCAATTTAGCCCACTATATTGCTTGTTAAAAGTTTGAGTCCGTTAGGTAGATTCTCGCTCCGTTGAAATCCTCCAACCCCATTACTTTTCCGCTTTCTGTACGCTAGATTGCAATGATTGAGGGCATGATCTTCAGGTTGTCACTATTTCTCTACACGTTTGGTCTTATTGTTTTTTTTGATTGTAAATTATTGTTTCAAGCTTCTAATAAATGCGTTACAATTGTTGATTTTTCTGTATTTTAGGAACGGTGCCCAAAAGTTGTTGGGAGTGATGATCACCATCGGAGAAGCCGTGGCATACGTTCTATCTGGGATGTATGGTGATGTCAGAAATTTGGGAGCTGGAAATGCCATTTTGATCATCGTTCAGCTGTTCTTTGCCGGCATCATCGTCATCTGCCTCGACGAATTGCTCCAAAAGGGCTACGGACTAGGCTCTGGAATCTCCCTGTTCATTGCAACCAACATCTGGTAATTATATTGCATAATCGTAGTTTATCTTCGATTTCATCGTTTTGCTTCATACAATTTGAACGTTATACGGGTGGGGTCGTGGTTGGGTGAACGCGATTATGGAGACCCGGTGTGTGGACTTGCCCCTGCGCGGGATATGTCGGGATTATGTGCTTGGCCATAAACATAATATCTTCCTTGTGGGGAGCCGAGATAAAGGTTCTTACACTTTCCCTTGGTTGGCAGCGAGAACATCATCTGGAAGGCATTCAGTCCTACCACCATTAACAGTGGTCGTGGTGCTGAGTTCGAGGGAGCCGTGATTGCCTTGTTCCACCTTTTGATCACGAGAACTGATAAAGTGCGAGCTCTGAAGGAAGCATTTTACAGAACGAACCTTCCCAATGTCACCAATTTGCTGGCCACGGTGTTGGTATTCTTGATCGTAATTTACTTTCAAGGATTTCGAGTGGTTCTTCCGGTGCGGTCGAGAAGTGCCCGCGGGCAGCAAGGCTCATACCCGATCAAGCTTTTCTACACCTCGAACATGCCCATTATTCTGCAGTCAGCACTCGTGTCCAATCTCTACTTCATCTCCCAGGTCAGTTCACGGCCCGTCTTAAGCATAGAAGGGTATTGAGTTCAGCAAGTTGGGGGTTCCGCCGCAAGCTGATTCGTCTTGTCCGGGAATTTACGCCGAGAAGGAAGCGTATGATATCGATCTATGGTTGATGTCATTAATACCACATCTTTGGCGTTCGCTTCTCTTATGGTACCATTGGTCGTATCGTACTAATATTTTTTTGGGTGGTGGATTTCAGCTTCTGCACAAGAGGTACAGCGGTGTCTTCCTTGTCCAGCTCCTTGGTAAATGGAAGGAGTCTGAGTATTCTCAGAGTGCCCAGTTGATCCCTGTGGGAGGTCTGGTGTACTATATTACTCCCCCCTCAAGGTTGGTAACATCTGAGTAATCATTCTGTGTGATTGCTGTTTCTGATTCGGATACATTTATCGGTATATATGTTACGAGTTGTCACCACTCTCAGTCAGGTCAATCATTTCAATATTTTCTTTCAGCTTTGGGTTCCTGTCTATCGCTTCATCATATATTCATACGTGTATCAAGCATTACCGCTTGCTGACCAGCTTCTCCACTTGTGCAATTTGCAGTTTGGGCGACATTGCTGCCAATCCTTTCCACGCTCTTTTCTACTTGACTTTCATGCTGACTGCTTGCGCCCTTTTCTCGAAGACATGGATTGAAGTTTCCGGTTCTTCAGCAAGGGACGTCGCTAAGCAGCTCAAGGTGAGACTAAAATTTTCGGTTGTGAGCGTAAAATCTGTGTCACTGTGAGAGAAATTGGTCACTTGTGACGTCATGCATCACGAGTACGGAGGTCGAGGTTTGTTGGCCCCTCAAGTCGTGTGACGATTTTGTTGAAGGATTGAAGGCACTTGTGCTGGTTGGATTCGGCAGTTGGGGTTGCATGTTGGAGATGAAGTCACATAACTTGGATTTGTTTTGTGTGTGGTCAGGAACAACAAATGGTGATGCCTGGCCATCGTGAGTCGAACTTGCAAAAGGAGTTGAACCGGTACATCCCAACAGCAGCCGCCTTCGGTGGAATGTGTATCGGAGCTCTGACAGTTGTGGCAGACTTTATGGGTGCCATTGGTTCAGGAACCGGAATCTTGCTCGCCGTGACCATTATCTACCAATACTTTGAAACCTTCGACAAAGAAAGAGCTAGTGAGCTTGGGTTCTTTGGCTTCTGAGACCTTTAGGTTAATGAAAATTTTGATTCGGCTTTTTGAGATAGAATATCTCTGAAGTGAGTCTTACACAGCACCAACCACAGGTAAGAGGGGGTTGTATTTAGTCAAGGTTGCGAATCAAAGTGGAGTTGGGGGCAAGCAGCAGTACTTGCTGAAAGCATTCCTCATCGGTTTGTAGTTCCCTTAGTTCTCTTTCTCTCATATGCGAGCCATACACTGCCCCGCCGTGTCTTTATCATTGTAACGATGCAAGGGGCATCATGGCCCAAAATTTCTTTCCTGAGTTGACTCTGGGTCCCGAATTTCATCACACTCCTGGTCATTGTGGGCATGTGTCTTGACTCTGAAGATGGAAGGGCAGCTGTTGGGTTAGAATCAAGCAGAGATGTGTACCATGTGTGGACTCCTGGGCAGTTGGGGTCCTATTATCGATGACAAAGTGTCGCTACCGTAGTTATTTTGATTACAGCGGTGATGAGAGATGAGCAGTAGTTCTCACACACGAGGAAGCTTCCAAGAGAGCAGATTGTTTTTCACGAGTGGCTGTCCGTGGATTCAAATTCTCGATCACCATTTGTTACGAGGTCCAGAAACTCGTCTCCAACTTGTCGAAGTAAAGGGAACACCGGGTGGTTGGTAGATGGAGGATTTCTCTGCTGAAAGAGTCTCGGTTTCAAGGAGGAGACATCCTGTCGTAAAAGAGAGAGACAGGTGCTGAGGAGCTGTCAGTGAAATCCATTTTTGTATTCTTTGAAGAGCTAATAAAAAAAATGTTGCTTATCACTACTCTCCCGGCGCTGTATAAGTAGGTACATCGATTGCTGGTAAGTCTTATGACGGAGCGCGGGGATACCTGTTTCTATGTACAGGCAGATGCTATGCCGCTTACTTGATTGTGGGATGGAATGTGTCTCAAACCCCTCATATGGGGATAAATCTGCAAGCTTGTGAAATATATTTTAACTCCGTAGCCTGCAAAGTGCAGCCTCATGTATTAGCGGATTGATTTCCTGCGTAGTTTCTCCGTACTTACATCTGACCCTATCTCATGTAAGATTCCCGGACTACGGAGAGGTATTCATTTGATGGACCACATAGGAACTTAAACTGTTTGATGAGATTCATCATGTTTCGTTTAACGCGATGGGGAGAATGGGAATGAGGATCGTAAAAGGATTGACATAGAAGCAAAGTCAAATTCTTAAGTTTGGCGGGCCTACTTGGCTAAGATTACTCTTGAGTACAACTTCACTACTGCATAATTTTTCAGGGCCCAGGCCTGGAGCGAAACTTGAGGACAAACAAATAGGAACTTCGTGATTCGCACCGTCCATGATGTGGAACACCCTCAATCCGGCACAAGGGCGCAACGTTTCCATTGAACGATCCTTGCCTCAAGCGGACAACTTGCTGATGAGAGGAGTACCCCTCACCACCAAAACATTACAAAGAAGTTGGACCCATGAAAAAAAGACGCCATGGGACATCATTTACGAGAAGACGAAACAGGAAGGCAACGAAGATGTGAAAATGGAAGTATCTCTCACGCGGCATCTCTAGTATCCCATCCATGAAATTCACAAGTAAGTGAATGAAATATATCTTTCCCTAAATGCGAGAGACTATGCGTCAAATTAGACCTGTAGACGTCCAGATGCAGGCAGAGTTGAGGATGCTGGTAGAAATGTAAAACTTGACGCAGACCCCATGCACAACAGATCTCAATCCAAGAACGGGTGCGGGATAAGCGTCCACCTTCGAAATCGGATCCGCGCGTCATCATGGAACGCCTTGCAGGTTTGCAGTCACTTTCACCATGACTGGAGGGAGAGGCATGGAGAATGCGGATCTCGTTGCTCCATCCTCTTAAACATGCTTGACTTCATCTGTGAAGTCAAGACAAATGGGCGAAGTAGTTACAACGTACTTCTTCTGGAAGATTTGCGTTTTTTCTACGATCATGTGAAACCCAATTTATCGCTTTGCTGACGTCAAAGCTAGATATTTAACGTAAGAAGTACCTGACTGCAATATTTCCAAGCTTTGATGGATACTTCAGTGAATGAACCTTACTTTCACGACATAATGTAATTATGACTTTTTCAACCTCACTGCAAGATTGAACATATGAAGAATTGATCATTTTCACTGTAGATCATGTTGTCAGCAGCTTTGGTTGGATTGGTTCTCTATACAACTTGCCGGTGAAATGCGACATTTGGATCTAACTGGGAAATTTCAGTAGCATTTCACATTTTCATTTTCAAACCAAGTAAATATCACTACACAGTGACATTCTTGAATTCATCCACGAATGTCAATGATAGAATATATCTACGTACATGTATATCTAAAATTGGTCAAGATCATTTTAGCTTCCTTGCACCTGCTGCATGCTTATATCAGTTTTATATATCATAGGTCGTCCTTTACCTACTGTCGAGCATCTGAAGACAAATAATGGAACTGGCCGTGCAAGCAAGAGACGTGGGTACTTCTACTTTTTCAATGAGTTCTTTACATGTATCTTCCAAATTGTTTTGAGTCAGAGTTCATCATGAAATCTTTACAATAGCTTTTCCAGACCACGTCACCCGTTCTATCTGTGTTTACACCAACCCGAGGAGCTCGTTGTGAGGCTCATCACTCTCCAAATTCATATATATCTTACGTAAATTACGGTGACCCGCTTTCTAGGTCGAAAAGAATGAATGTTTTGCTTGACCACTCACATTCGAGGTGTCCAAATCTCGAATGTTGCATGTGGATCAACTTGAAATCTGACCTCAGTGAAAACTGCTGTTACCTGCAGAAAACTCTGCACTTTCCTAAATACTCTAGCCACCACGATCCCGTGTACCCTCGATTCGTCACTGGTGATTACGACATCTGAAGATGTTCAAAATGTGCGAGTACGCAACTGAAGCACGAGTTAGGCAAGGTTCTTGTGGAACACAGCTCCCAGCATTTCCTGGTATATACAGAGCACCCTGTCTAGCATCCGATAACGTTTGAAACTGGAATCGTGGTTCAAAATGTGATACCGACTGCCATGAAAGCTGAAGCATATGTTCACGATCTCCACGTCGATATGAAACCGAAGGCTAGATTCTACGGCCAGTTCAGTGCAAATTCGCAGCCCACAACCGAGACCAAAAAACGTGAGCTTAGATCAACGAATGCTTTAAAAGCCACAGAGAAACATGATGAAGCTTGAAACGAGGTGACGGGCGTTCAGCCAAACCTCTATCCGGACCTCGAGAGTCGCCCGCATCTCGGGCCGGGTGAAGTCCCAACGTTCAGAACAGCGGCGAATACACGGATGGTCGGAATCCCGTCCATCTGTTCGAGATTCAGAGCGGGGCCCACCAGCTCTCCCCGAACTGTACTTCGCGAGTCCTTCCTTGTCTGGAATCCGCGTCCAACGACTTTGCGCCGGTGGCGCTGAGAACGCCGGCAGCAAAAGCGGGTCGGGCTACACCTGGACTCCGGCGTCGCCCAAGATTGGGCCTGCTCCGACCCTCGAGACAGAGAGTCGGGAGCAGCGGATTTTCGAGGGGCGATCGAGCTGATGAGCGATGCCTGTCACGCGTCGAGCGATCGACCTTCAGCGGCGCAATGCGCATTGCGTCGATGCTTGAGACTCGCACCCACTCGTTCTTGGCTGTGCTCGTCTCCGGAGGTGGGCTCCAGCGTTCGATCTCCTGCTTCGGCCGCTGAGCGGGACTGTCAGCTGAGTGAGTTTCGCAGTTGCCTGGAGGGTGCTCGTAAGGGCCGCCATCTCCGCCCAGCTCGTGGGTCCGTCCGACGCGGCACATGCGCTCGAGGCTCTCCCCGTAGGCGCAGAGGTGTCGTGGTAGTCGCCAGGATGTTGGCTCCTTCGAGGCCGATAGGCGGGGCGCGGACTCTTTTGCGAATCGCTCGAGATGTTTAGCCGGAGGTGGAGGTGGAGGTCGAGGTCTTGAGATGCGAAGCTCTGTGGGCCACGAGACGATGCCGCTCAAGCGGTCGCTGTCCTCGGGGCGCGCCGGGCAGAATGGGCGGTGGGCGCTTCTGGCCTTGGTTTGTTTGATCTTCGTCGGCCTTTTGTGGTTGGCCCCGGTCGAGGAAGGCGATGAGGAATTCCGCAAGACCGAAGACTGGAGCGACGAGGTTGAGCGCCAATTGGGGGACGTGGACGCGAAGAGGGGCGTTTCGAAACTCTCTGGCTCGGAGACGGCAGTGTGGGCCGGTGAGGATGGATTGCCAGACTCCACCAGCTCCCATAAGCGACATGGAGGCCGCAGGCGCGAGGCGATCGCCGACGAGGACGAGGAAGAGCGAACAGATGATGGGGACAAGGCGACGGGAGAAGTCGAGGATTCAGAGCTCTGCGACCGCACTAATTATCCAGCAGCATGGGAGCTGAAATCCGACCAGCTCACAATTCTCATCAACGGGTTCGCCGAAGCGCGCCTTCCTCTGCTGCAGAAACACGTACGAATGTACTCTATGATCCCCATTGTCAATTCCATCTACATTCTCTGGAGTAACATCTCGACACCCGCAGAACTTCTGGAAGAAGCGAACTTCGAAAGTCTCGGAGCTCCGATCTACCTCGTCAGGCAGAAATCCACCAGCCTCAACGATCGTTTCTTACCCAGATCCTACATCAAAACCAGAGCGGTGATGATTTGTGATGATGACATCACCGTGGACCCCAAGAGCCTCACTTTCGCGCTGGACGTATGGCGAGAAGAGCAAGGCCGGATCGTTGGCTTCTTTCCTCGGTCCCACGCTTACGAACTGGACTCCAAGTCGTGGATGTATGTGAAACAACAGGGGAAGTACTCAATCATGCTCACCAAGTTGATGATCCTGGCCACCGAGTACTTGTACCTCTACACATGTGAAATACCCAAGGGCGTCAAAGAGTATGTCGATGACGGGATGAATTGTGAAGATATTGCCATGAATTTCGTTGTGTCGAGCCACAGTGGAAAGGGTCCTCTTCTGGTTGAGGGCAAGCCCCGGGACTGGGGAGATACACGGAACACGGATGATGAGGAGCTCAGCGCGGGTGCTCTGAGTGGACGAGGGGGTCACAGGAAGAATAGGGGAGACTGCATCACAGCGTTCCAGAAATTCTGGAATGGAATGGAGCTGAAGTTCAGCTACACCAAGGCCGTATCCCAGCTCGAAGAACAGGTGTACTGTGACAAGTTTGGTTACTTGATTGACTGTGACAAGCAAGTGACCTCTAAGAGGGAGGCCCGTCGCTATGCGGGCGAGCATGTAGTTTCCTACACTCACCGCTATGCTTATGCAACATTCCTGCCGTCCGATTCGCACTTGAATTTGTCACTTTTATTGGCACAGTCCCTACGTAGCTCTGGGACTGTCCACGACCTTGTGTTGTTGGTGGATCCGTCCTGTACCGTCATTCGAAAGAACCATGTAATCTACGAACACTATGATGAGGTAGTGATGTTGCAAACGCCCCAGGGTCTGGATTTCAAGAACCAGCTCGGTAAGCTGAATGCCTGGCTTCTGACTGATTACCACAAGGTTGTGTATCTCGAAATCGATTCTCTCGTGCTGGCTAATTTGGACCATCTTTTTATGCTGTCGGAGCCGGCAGCAGCTCCCCGAGTTTTCATGCCAGGGAAATTCAGCACAGGATTGCTGGTGTTGAAACCTTCCAATGCCACATACAACCAGCTGCTGAAGAGCCTGTCTAGAGTTCGAATGCTCACGGGCCGAAGAAGACAGTATTTGCTGAACTCACATTTTAGCGGTTGGTTCCAAATGCCAGTTGAAAATCGGTTGCCTGCACGGTACAACACGCCGGTGGTCTTTTCCAAGCAGCTTCGAGTCCCGATCTGGTTTGATGTGAATCGTGCTTTCGAATTGTTGGGCCCTCCGATGGTCTTGAGGTATGGAAATTCTAGGATTTCCTCCAGGCATGTGGATCCTTCTTACGGAATCGTCAACTCTTGGTGCGTATCCCGCTTCAGGCTATTTGAAGCTCTTCAGGACAATGACTTTCATCCCATGGATGAAGAGAACATGACCTTCTTCAGTTGGATGCCGGTCGAGAAGTGGAATGCGAGTGACATGACATGGCCACCAAAGCCCCCAGTGAATCCAACGAGCATCACCTTCTCCGTCGAGAAGTCAGAGTTGAGGGAGGCTTTTGTAACTGTGTTGTGGAAAGAAGAGACATTATCTTTGGCAGGATGGGCTGAGTCATTTTATCACCATCATCCAGTCCGCTCTGGTCGTAAAATGATTCTGCTAGTCTCGTCATTCGTGGATCCTGAGTATTATGCTGAATATCGTTCGTATTTTGACGAGATCAGAGTCGTGAGTCGAGTCCTTTCTAACGGAAGAACTGCCCATGGGTCCTTTACTTTGCTGCACTTGTGGAACCAGACAGATTATGACAAACTGGTCTACGTGGCTTCAACCTCTCTGTTTGTGGACAATTGCAACTCCTTATTAGATCATAATCCTTTTGCAGCGGTACCTAGTATTTTCCCTCCGGATTCATTTTCGACTGAGGTCATGGTGATACAACCAGATGAGCAGACATTCAGCATTCTTCAGAAGAAGCTTTCGACGTACGATTACCCAAGTCAGCCCGTAGAGCAGTTTTTGAATGGGCATTACAATGATTGGTACCATAGGTCCGCCCTGCACCGAATCAGTCCTTATTACAGTGTTAGTATGGCCTTCGACTCCCATCTTCGAAATTCTCCTCTTCCATGGAAAGTCCTGAGTTTCAACCTCGACTGGCTACCAAATGAGGAAGCAAATGTAACGAGATTGTGGAAGAGAACGGTATGTGAACTCAAGTCGACAGCAAGGTCGCCAAACCTGGTGTCACCTTTCTGTGAAGCATCATTTGCGGAGCTTGTATAATACTAGCACCTTCCAAGTCTTTATGAAGATGCATACTCCTTACGCGGGCTGACCCTTGGTGATCTATTTTGACCATCACGACTATATATTACTTTGGCCCACCATGTCTAATGGTTGAGGAGGCTTTATCGTCAAAGGCCTCGGTGCGGCAGGACAAACACAATAAATGCGTCATCTATGACTGGTTATTGTTTGATGCTAAATCTTCCTTTATCGAAGGAGAATTTCAGGTAAATCCTCCCTGCTGATAATCTAACTTCGCTGGATGAGATAGGTCTCTACTTCTCAATATCACTGTGTTCTTCCGTTTAGTTGTTCTCTTGCACGTGTGCAAATTGTATGTTTTATAACCTTCTTCGACCTTAAATCGCAACTGGAAAAGAAGAACTAACGACCAATACTTCAGATTATGCTGAATGTATCAGGTTTTAAGTTTTCTTTTACACCTCTAAAAGCTGACATTTATCTTTGGTAGCTAGACCTTTCTGGATTTCCAATTTTTTTTTATTATGTTATGTTCGGCGTAATGTTGTATCCAAGTATTTCAGAATTCGTTGAAAACTATCAAATATTGGAAATGGACAAGCTACCCTCTTGCTTCATCTGCTTTTGTTTGCGATCAAATGACCCAGTTAGACCCAGTTTTTATGCTTTGAAAAAAGGAATTTGGAATATGGTATCTCTATGTTCACTGCACTGATATTGCTTATGCTTTGATTTTGCAGACACAAGGCCTGATCAGCATACGAGGCAAGTCATTGACCAACTTGACACTCATGTACGTACAGGATGCTGCATGTGGCTGCTGGGACCAGGATGATGTGAATGAGGTTTCCACGAATATTACAGGAGGTCAAGGAGACGCGCTATCTCATATTTTGAGACTGTTCCACGATATTGACTCCAATCAACACGAGTTTGGTCTAGTATCGAACTCCCAACAGTCCGTTTATGAGAGATTCTTGCTGTGCACCCGCTGAGACTGGTTGAAGGTTGTTCGAGTCTGTATCCACAGTAGGATGATTTCGAGGAACTTCAAAGAGGGTCTTTTACTTCCACATGATCTCCGCAAGTGAGGTTCATTGGTTACATTTCAATTATTTTCTCAATAAGCTACTTCCAGCTGAGCAAGGCAAACACTGTACAGTCGAGAATTAGCTTCCCACTACACTCCTTCGTTAAAAGGCGTTTCCAACACAGTGTACAGTTGTGTATAAAATCTGGAAGGCCAACACAATATTCTTGCTCGCTGTAGAATTTCTTAGCAATGCACGCATTTTGTCTTAGTTTCAACCTCTACTATACGACGTAAGATGAATTGAGCACTGCAACAGGGGGATTAGTTGACGCTCAGCCGCGTGAAAATGTGCCTCCGTTTTGGGATTGGGAGCAACATGGAAAATATTTGTGGAAAGGTGTCGACGCCAGAATCCCCAACGTTAGTTCATTAATTGTAACAACGAAATAATGTGACACAACGAAACATAGAATGACGGAAGCAAACGATTGATCGTTAGTTTCACTCCAATGTGATGACTCTGAGTTTTAAGAGTTTCCACGTACGAATCGTATGCAGGATTGTATCAGAAGCAGACGGGGCGAAAGTATAGCTTCTGAAGTAGCGGGCTACCTTTTCTTCTTCCTCTTGTCGGATGTATTCTGTGGTTTCTCGTAACGTTAGTTACACGGTTGTACACGTTACACGTTGTCAAACTAAAGACAGGGGGACAAGAATTTGATTTTCTAGCAGTAGGCATATGTTTCATAATGATCTCGCAGATCACCGCTCCTCGCAACCGTTCTCCACCGCATGCAGCTAATCGCATTATTTCATAGGCATATCTCATATACACATTAGTCAAAAGAAATTCCGGACTATAAAAAAGATGTTGAAGCAGGCACTCCGATAATCCACCTCATCCAGCTAATCGCATTATTTCATAGGCATATCTCATCTACACATTACTCAAGAGAAATTCCTGACTGTAAAAAAGATGTTGCAGCGGGCACCCCCATAAGTGCATAGAGCAGGACTTACACTTCCTGCCATTATAAACTTTTGTATTTGATCGGAACTTGCAACCAGGTTGTCTTAGTATGAAGTTCTTTATTTCACCATCACTTACATGACAAGGATAGTTTCTCTCGATGTTTTAGTCTTTGTCTTTAAAGTAGAATGGGACGGATCAAGATTGGAACTTGCAAATGATGACACTTGTTCTTCGAAATGGAATTGGAAACTTTGGATTTAATTTCACTCTGATTTACGTTAGATGACTTTGACATAGTTCATTATGCTTCTAGAAGTCTAGGATTACTCCTTATAATCATGTGTCAAATATCGTTTCACTCAGTCTCTCCATTCGTCACTCAAGTTCGCACACACATTGACATTCCAATATGTTGAAAAATATCACTCTTTCATTGATGAAACAAATCTCTTCACATGAATTTTCCAATTTGCTTGAGAGATTCTTCTACACTTCTCTATATATACTACTTGAAAATTTACCATAATAATAGATGGTAATTCTTATCGAATCTACTTTTACAAAAATAAACTAAAGAAGGTTTGACTAGTTTTCAATACGTGGCAACATGTCATTGGACTCTTGAATTTTCTAGATGTTTACTAATCTCTATATTGAAGTGATGACATGTCATTTGATACCTTCCAACTTGTAGATACTTCACTTCCCACTAAGTCAATTTTAGAATTTTAATTTAACCAATGAAATTTCCATTACTTAGTGAAACCAATAAAAACTAATGATGTAGTGAAAGTCGAAATTTTTTGAAATTTATACAAAGAAAAAAAGAAGTGTTCACTCAAACCTAGTTATTTCGTCAATTATAAACATCATAGCTAAACATAGTCATAACTAGCTAGACTTAATCATTATTAGCTAGATTTTTAGTCTAATTAGTCATAACTAATTAGACTTAGTTAAATCCAAACTAACCATCATCAACTCCTTAGCTATTTCTAGTCTTACTTCACACATACAGAAACCAGTCTTATAGAATGCAATTGGAACTTGAACTTGTAAACGATGACACTCCATGAGCATCTATTGGAGCAATTTTCAACATTATTTTGAGCAGCAATAGATTGAAATGAAGTTTTATCAACTTGATGTTAATACTTTGCTTCTATGTTGTAAACAAGTATATCTTCTTGAGGAAGTCTTCACATTCTTTTGTCATATTATTGCATCACATATTATTGCATCACACTCCAAAAGTGTATCTCATAGACTAGCAGTTGAGAAGGTACGATGTTTTAATAGTGACAGAATCGAATAAATTTGTAAGTTATGCGTTTGTAACATTTTCAAGATATGAAGAGATTAGAATAGCTCATAATTTATGATTTAGGTCATTATATTAAGAATGCCATTATTCACCATTCTAGTGTTCAATGCAATAGCTAAGATGAGGTATTTTGGATAAATTCCCTAGTTGATGAATGTATGACTTGTATAGATTATAACCTCCCAACATTATCACCTCATATGAATGACATACTCCCATAATGACATCAAATTTCAAAACCATTAGTTTAAAATTGATAAATCTGCAGAATAATAAAGTACATGATCAAAAACAAAAGTGACATGATAATATACAATAATGACATTTTTAAGTATATATTTGAAGTTACAATTCGTATCATGATCATAATAAACAACTGTGAGAAAGGAAAATGTGGCCTAAGTTTATTTAGATTTTTATCTCAACACTTCACTCTTTCTTGACCGTAGTAAAATAATTCACAACATATTGTATTGTATTTTGATTGTTTCAAAGATCCAACTTTTTAAAATTTTGTGAGATCGGAGAGAAAATTAATTTAAATATATGTCAATAAAGATCATTCAAGAGAGAGAAAGTTGATCAAATTAACATCTTCTAAATTGTTGATTGTTTGCAAGAGTTCGTACTGTTTCAATATAAACTTGACAATCTTAATATCATCAACATAATTGAACATTATTACATTAGCATAAGCATTACAATAGCATTGAGAACATTCATTTCAATTAGATGTTTGGCAACTTGTTCAATATTTGCGTCATCAAGATCCAAGAACGTCAAAAAATAATCATTCAATTCAATTTCTTGTAGCATTTTCACTGAATCATTGACGATTTGATTTAAAATGGGAGCAAATTGATCGATACAAATATATTGATTAGAATTGAAAATGGAATTAACAGTAAAACAATTGGCTTTGACAAAGCACCGTCTAATAGTAAGCACCGTCACCGTATTATACTTGATGTCGTCAAATGCTGATTTGATCCAGCTAAGCATGTTGCATGCGTGTGTATAATCATTAGAAAATGAGTTTTAGGTGCAAGTTTACTTGCTTGACAGATTTTATACTCAGAAATTAGATACTTTAGTTGAGCACGGTAAAAACACGCTTTGAAAGATAAAATGATTACTCAATCAAGACATTGATATTTGCGGGTAGCATTTGATAGAAAATAATGATGTACAAGTTCTAATATCAAAAAAATAATTATGATGATCTAGATAGATCCAAAATTTTGACTTCACAGAATTGATATGAATAATTGTTTTGAATTGTGAAAATAATTAGTTTGTAATTCTTGGCAATTTTGTTGTACTTGGAAAGTAAATGCATATAAGACAATGTATTTTTGCCAGACTTTATCTTAATGATCAAAGATGATTCCGAACGTTTTATTAATATCCAAAATATATTTTCATCGCATATAGATGAGCGCTTTTTGCAAAAACTTGCGTGATAATTTTTTCAACGTTAAGTGCTAACTCTGAATATCAATGTGATTTGTTCATTGCTTTGTTTGAATCACAACTATATGAATTGATTGTGCAGTATGATCTTGATGATGTTGAGCTATGTTCTAAAGTAGACTCATCAATGTTGATAAATGAGTGATTCATATATCATTTTTCACAAATTTTATGTTTATGTTTTCCATCTACATGAGATTGAAATTGTGCATGAGATTGAGGTTGTTATGCTCCATGTACCTCTTCTTTCTAGATATTGTGATGCGCTTCAGATACTTTTGGAGACATCCATTTGACTTTGCAAAATGTTCAAAAATTCAAAACATTTGCAAAGTCATGCAAGATCTGATCTTACCTTGAAAAAACAAAACCTTGTTCTTAAGCATCTCATTAATCACGCTCACTAGTTGAACTTGACTAGTCAAGTTCAACGTGAAGTCATTCCGAATGCGCATATGTAGTCATTGTTATGATAGTCACTCGCATAAATTACCAAAGTATGCTTAATTTAGTCTCTTCAAAAAAAAATAATTCAGGTTAATTTAGTCTCGTAAAAAGGTTTGATTTAGGCTAATTTAGTCTACTCAAAAAAACAATTTAGGCAATTTTCAATACAAATATTTTTACTTAGATGTTGTGCAAATACACATCGTTATACAACATACATTGTTGACATACCATACATACATACACACAAATTATAGATGAGAGCATACACAAATACAAGTGTAGCATAAGTGAAAATCCGTGAAAAACCTACTGTCATAAAACACAAAATGGAATTTTTTTTCTACCAAATATAGGCATTATAGCTAAACTTAGTCATGACTAGATAAACTTAGTTATAACTAACTAGTTTAGTCATAATTAGATACACTTAGCTATGTCTTGGCTAATCATCATTAATCATTTGGCTACTTCTACAATTTAATACACATGTGCAACATCTGATTTCACTGTACATGTCGGATCCATGGAAAGTTCAATGAGAAGGAGTGAAATGGATTTTGAGATATTTGAAAAGAACTGTGGATTATGACATATTGTTTGATGGGTTATCAAACAACATGCATTGACAAAATTATCCTTGTTTGACTACGTTGATGTTGACTACGGACAAGATTTAGACAAAAGTATATTTACAACTGGATATGTGTTTACACTTGGCGTTAGTTGAAGATATTTCTTGCAGAAGTGCGTAGCTCATTCAACAACGGAAGCTAAATATGTTGCACTAGAAGAAGTGACAAAGGAAGCTATTTGGTTGGATATGCTTATCATGGAGATGGGATTGACATAGGGCGTGATCAATCTTCATTGTGTGTGGTACCCCACTTTTGGTATTTTTGAGTAATTTAAAACATTTTTGGAAAACTGTACCGCGGCAGTAGTGTAAATAGCCATCGGTGCATCAAAATAGAATGAAACTAGATGATCTCGGAGAATCTCGAAAGATCTCGTAGAATC